TATGCATACAAGGTCCTCGGTAGATTACTCCCCCACCCAACCTCCCTCCCCCGCCTTCCCTCTGAGATTCCGCACTCTATTCCATGCCTCCATGTCTCGGGATCCACTCCATTCATCAGTTTATTTTGTTCATTATACTCCACATATGAGTGCGATCATGTGATATTTGTCTTTCTCTGACTTATTTCACTTAGCGTGATACTCTCCAGGTCCCTCCATGCTGTCTCAAACGGTAAGAGATCCTTCTTTTTTACAGATGTATAGTATTCCATGGTATAAATGTAGCACAGTTTTTTATCCACTCATCTGATGGGCCCTTGGGCTGTTTCCAGGTCTTAGCTATTGTAAACTGTGCTGCTATGAACATAGGGGTGTATACCTTCTGATTGGTGTTTCGGGTTTCCTAGGATATACTCCTAGAAGTGGGGTCACTGGGTCAAATGGCAGTTCCATATTTAATTTTTTGAGGACTTCTTAAATAAAAGTGGATACAGGGAGTTTGTAACCTGGAGGTTTCCAACACTAAGTTTCTATGGAGCGAATTATTTCTGTAGCGGAGTGTCAATCATTCGCTCATTCATTCTCTACTCACTGGGTGATCACTGTTCTCACCTGGACCCCTCCCACTGCCTTTATTCTGCGTCCATGCTCCCCAAGCTGCCTTCTAGCTGTGACTGCTTCCGGGGTAGGTGTCCCCTCAGGGCCAGGATGCTCTGGCCGCGCTCCCACGCTGTTTGAGGCCACAGCAGGCCTCACTGTTCTGTGGCACGTCAGTCTCACAAGCCTGGTGAAGGTGCATTTACCCACGAGAGACGGATTCACTGCTGTGGGGACCCTGACCAGGGCACGCTGGATGTGAAAGGCACTTTTCTGTACACACTGCGCAGGTGCACGTGTCTCATGGAACGCTGACGTCACCACCTGGCAAGCAGCCTCTCTTGTCTGAGAATAAAAGGTGCTGCTGAACAGCGTAGGGGCGGCTGTGTGCAACGGCTCTTGTGCTTCCATGGCTGTCTTGGTCGGCAGTAAAGCACATCCTATCTGCCCGTGCTGCTCGCCTTTTCTCCCAATCCCGGCGTCCCTAGCAGAGGGGCCCGGACCCAACAACTGTCATGTGTCAACAAGTCATCGGAGCCTAAAACCCTAAGGACCAGTGCACGCCCTTTGGGACCTCCTGCCTGGCCCACCTCCCCAGAGGCTCCTGGCCACGCGGCTCCTCACTCACTCACTCACTCTCCCTCCTTCTCTTGGGTGTGAAAACTGCCTTCTTAATGCCTCTCTCTTAGCAAAGGGAACCACCACTCAGAGGGACCCCTCACCACACAAGTCTAGTCACTCCACAGCCTCCCAGCCTCTCCCGTCCCTCAGCCCCCACAGAGGCACGTGCTCCTCATGGAGTCGCCACCCGAGACCGGCTGGTTAGCCAGTTAGAGTTGCCTCATCTATGAAATAAACATCCTGAAACAGACCCAGCGAACGGTGGCAGGGACGGCCTAGCATCCCTATTGCACTCAGAAGAACAGCTCCGGATGCTGGCAGCGTAGACTTTCAAATAGGCGTTTTCTTGACCCAGTTCAATTTTTATTCATTGAAAAAAGTTGATACTGAGACAAAAATTATCTTAAAATTGTGCAACAATATAGGAAAATCTTCAGCATACATCAGTGATTTGGAAACTTATCAAGGCAGTTGAAACCATAAATGCCTTTTTTCACTTTGGAGAGAAACAAGCACACAGCATTTCACTTTAAATAAGAGATTAGACCTTTATTTTGCTGCGAAGACTTTTGATTTTGCGTAAAGTTCCTAATTCATAACAAGGAAATGACGTGGCCTATCTGAGAAGACCGCCCACCGCGGCCCACACCCTCACGCCATTGCGCTGCCACAGGACAATGCCGTGCTTAGGCCATTTGGTTGTGATGAATCAATGAGCAACCCACACTAAAGCCTCTACTCCCTCAACCTTCTGAAAACTCGTCTACCGTCCTCGCACCGGCAGTCTGTCTTGCATAGAAAGTCTCCTATGAAGCTAAACCCACTGGCTGGTCACAGACACGGCCCCGAGGGCAGCACGCACCCCCAGCCCAGGGCAGATCCTGCCTCGTCTACACCGCGTGGAGGTGGCACTCGGTTTGCTCACGTGACCCGGGCTCTCTCTAAAGGACCTCCCAACCCCGGCAGAAGGAAGAAAGGCCTTTGCAGGGACTCACGGTGGCCCCAGGGGGTCGCGGTCAGCACAGAGGCCGTGATGGGCATGAAGTGGGGCTGGATCTCCCCGGGGAACGAGGGCCTTGCACACCATCACTCGCCCCAGACCCTCCCAAAATCAAGTGAAGCCCAACCTAGGGGAGCACCCCAACGGGCAGAGCACGTGGTCGTGTGTCCCACATCTGCCCCCAAGTGCCCCTCGCAACACCGTCAACATGGAAGCCCAGGAGCCCTTCCTCCCCAGGCAGATGTTTCCACGCAGCATAACATGCCCTCGGCGGCCGGGGTGGCCAGGGGTCCCTGCGCTCCTTGCGAGCCTGGAAGCAGGCCGCACAGCGTGGCTTCTCCCGGGACCCTGGAGACCGACGCTCACGTGTCTGCATGAACCCAGGTCTCAAGGCTCCGGGCACACAACACAGACGGGCAAAGCCAGCGTCCGGAGGAAACGTGCACACACTCACCTGGATGCCGAGTGCCAGTGGCGCGCTAGCGGTCCATCGCAGCTCACTCAGAGTGCACTTCTAGAAAGTTCTCAGAGGCCCTGGGAGAAGAACCCTCTTCCCTTCATGGCGAACGTTCAGGTGGCATCTCCAGCGAGGTCACAGACAGCCAGGGCTCCGACTGGTTCAGTGCACACAGGGGCCAGGCCCCACCCAAGGGCGCCCACACTTTTGCTTCCATCTCCCCATCTCCCACTCACTCCGCCTCTGGCTCTAGCGGACAGCACATGTCCCCCAACCCCGAAAGCTGTGCAGAGGGAAGGAAGAGTGCACCCCTCAAACGTTCGTAAGAATAGACACTTGGCACGTAGCGCCCTGTCGAGCTCTTCTTCGGGACTTAGCTCCGCGTCTGCACGAACAGCCCACCCTAAGGCTGCTTTCTCAGACAGCACGCGGCCTCTCTCCCCTCCCGCCATGGAGGGAAAGGCGAGGCGGCCAGTCTCGGGGGGCGCGCTCCCGGGAGGCGCTGGTCAGCAGACTGGGTCCTCAGAGCTCCCCCAGGCGCCCTGGAGCTGGAGAAGAGGCGGCCTGTGGAGCAACTGAAAATAAAGGCGCAGCACCCCTCACAGCAGCAGCCGCGGCTACCAGCCCAGCTGACCTGTGCGCGTCCCCAGCCCGCTCCCCTTGCCGCTACTCAAGGAGATTGGGGGCCGGGGGGCTGGGGCTTGCAGTTTTGCAGAACTTCAAGGTAAGTCACGGAAAAGAAAGAAAGGCCAATCTTCAAACAATAACAGAGGAAAGGGACAGAAAGAAGAGAAAACAGGCGGAGGAGGCTCCTCCTCACCACTTGTTAGAGCAGACGAGCCTTTCCCACGGACAGAGTGAACGTCGACAACTGAAACATTCCTCATCCAAAATACAAGTACAGAGCGGGGCAGAGGCAGGCTTACAGCTGTACGGGAACAGCCGATTCTTCCATTACTGCTTATTAATTACTGTACTGTTTCCCAGATGAACAACTGTAAACCTACTTTTGCCCCACCCTGTGTATTTTTAAACTACAATTTCATTTGCTCTTTGTTTCCCAAACAATCCCTACATAGAAGGAATCTATGTTATAATCCGAGGATGGTTGTTTTGGTAAAAGAAAGCAACACGTGGGGGAAGGCGGTGCGTTGCATCTGAGAGGAGAGGTGTTTATGCAGCTGGGGTACCAGGGCCCCTGGGCGGCCGGCTCCCGCCCCTGGGGAGGGTGGTCTGTGTGGGCTCCCGCAGCAGGAGTCCCCACAACATTCCAGCTGGTGGTGGGCCCGTCCGCAATGGGTCCACACACCTGCTGAGTTGCCACAATTTGGATACCGGGGTGGCATCTAAAGGAAGAACACAATCCCGGGCATTTCACCGAGAGCAGCGCTGCTGCGTGATGGGACTGGACGGCCTCCAATCACAGGCGCCCAGATCTCCGTAACCCCTTGAACCAGCAGAGACACAGGGGAGGGGGAAGAAAAGGAAGGAGAGAAGGCACTGGCCAGTTCAAATGACTGCATAGATCAGTGTAGACCCTGGAGGACAGGGAGTGGCCGTTCCGACACACACAGAACTGGACATTGGAGACGCGTCAGCGACACGTGACAACAAAACGGAAGCATGGGCACGGAGCTGCAGCTCTCCCACCCGGAGCGGCTTCTGCAGCGACGACCCAGCGTGTGTCCCACGCAGTCCCCACCGCGCTCTGGAAGCCAGGCCTGCAGGGAGTGGGCGGTGCAGCGCGATCCAGCTGGTCACACAGGAGCTGCTGCTCGTGGATGGAAGGGGCGAGGCCTCAGGCGCCCTCCGGGCCCTCCTTGTGCCGCAGGGAACAAACCGGGCTGTTCCTCCCAGCAAACAGCTTCTGCTCCTGCCCTCGCACTGTGGGCCCCTCGCCGTGGTGTCAGGGGCCTCACGCCCGCCTCATGCAGAGTCCCAGGAAGTTAACAGAAAGACATAACAGAATCTTCCCACCAAACGTTCACACACTAAACCCAAACGAAATCCAAAATAGGGAGCTTCCTTTCCACGAGGAGGGACTCCACTCGCCACTCTCCTGACCTGTTTATCAAATGCATTTATGTGTCTTAGAAAAATAAAAGATGGCGATTTACTCAACCAAAGTCATCTCACAGCCCCGCAAGCCGACATCACACCACATCAAAGCCGTCAGGCGGCCAAAGCCAACGCGTTTGACGTTCACAATTGTTACTACAAAGTTCATTCATTCCTTTCTTTCTTCTTCAGTTTGTTTGGTTTTGGCCCATATAAAAATAACATATTGCAACTCAAAGTGCATCTTTTAAAATAAACCATCAACTCTCTTTATCAAATAAAATATTTACACCATTTGGTTTCTCGCGAGGAAAGGAGCTCTCTCAGGCTATCACCATGGGGACGTCGTCGGAAAATCCAGTTATCATCGGAGTGTCTTCGTCATCCTCCCCTAAAGCAGAACAGCCAGCGTGAGTCCCAGCGCACGGCATCTGTCCAGTCTCCCGCCACCATGCCCCTCCGTCCCCTCGTGCCTGCCCCCCCCCCCCCCCACTATCACCAGCCCAGCCCCGGGCACAGCCAGCAACGCTGAAGCCCAGTCCAGCTTCGCTCTGACTCAGTCACCTCCCCATCAGCAGGTGGCCAAGCTCCTTCTAAGAACAGCTTGGACCGAACCACGTAAGCAAAGCCCATCTTTTGGGAAGGAGCGTCTGACTCCCCACTTGCAGGTCCCTGGTGTTTTACTCCCCCCTTGGGGTGACGCACACCGTTAGCACTGGGAGCTGACTGCGCGGGCTCTCCTCCCAGCCCTGGGCTTTAGGGAAGGATTGAGGCCTGAGTGTTTGGAGGACAGCTTCCCAGCCTCACGCCGTCCCGTGACCCAGGTGCGGCCCCGTGGGGCTGCCCAGCACCCTCCCTGACCCTGCCGGCAGCACTGCAGTGGCTGACTCCTCCTGCCCAACACGCAGCGCCCGCTGCATTCACGCAAGGGCGCCCAAAAACGCACAGCAGGAAAGGAACTGAGAAGCAGCAGGCAGAGCTAATACAAATGGTCGGGGGTGGGAGTACAGAAAGGTCCTGACAAACAAATCAGAATTCGTGTACAGAAAGCAACGACTACACACACTCAGCTCAGCAACCTGAGTCTGCAGGGGCCCAAGCTGAGGGAGGTCCCCACACACCCACTTCAGTACAGGAAGTGGCCACAGCTCAACTGGCACTTGGTGGGTGAGTGTAGACCAGTGATGGCGAACCTATGACACGCGTGTCAGAGGGGACACGCGAACTCATTTTTTTGGTTGATTTTTCTTTGTTAAATGGCATTTAAATATATAAAATAAATATCAAAAATATAAGTCTTTGTTTTACTATGGTTGCAAATATCAAAAAATTTCTATATGTGACACGGCCCCAGATTTAAGTTAGGGTTTTTCAAAATGCTGACACGCCGAGCTCAAAAGGTTCGCCATCACTGGTGTAGACGTTTATAAACGGGCTCGTGCTCGTCCCCTGCCACGCGCTGTTAGTACAGAGGAGTGGCCAGCGAGGCTGCACTAACATCAGAAAGGGGACAGCAAGGTGGAAGCATGACTTCTTGTCTTCTGTTAATCTCCCCCCACCCCCAGGCTATTTTCCCACTGATTTTTAGGGAAAAGTGGAAAGGAGAGGTAAAGACAGAGAGAAACATCCATGTGAGAGAAACACATCGATGGAGTGGCTCCTGCAAGACCCGACCAGGGCCCTGGCTGGGGAGGAGCCTGCAACCGAGAACTGTGCCCTTGACCGGAATCGAATCCGGGACCCTTCAGTCCGCAGGCCGATGCTCTCTCCACTGAGCCAAACCGGCCAGGGCAAAAGCAGGACTGTTCATCTTGACTGGGTGTGGGGCCTCCGACCTCTGGTCTGAAGGATAAGGGGCTGGGACTGAGAGCCTGACAGGCCGCTGCTCCCGCACCAGGCAGCGCCCAGCAGGGCTTCCCTGGAGCTGCGCTCAGCCAGCGCCACCACTTCCCCGGGGGCAATGCTCTCACAGGTTTAAGCCCAGGCAATGGGATCACTGTGAACACCGCGCCCTCTAGAGCCAGAGGATGGGCTCAGGTAGGTGCTTCCTAACCAAGGCCCCCTGGGGTCTGCCCTGCCCAGGGAGGATGGGCCATGTACCCAGGTCGTCGCCCGAGGAGAAGACGGCCGAGCCCAGCCGGGAGCTGTAGTGGCTGTTGGCGAAGGCGGTGAAGCTGCCCTGCAGCCGCCGGTGCTTGGCATACAGGACGGCAAAGCCGACCCCCAGGCTCAGCAGGACCAGGAACAGGACAGGCACCACCACGGCAGCCACGTCGGGAGCCCTGGCAGCCTGTAGCGCTGACGCATCCCCACCTGCAAGGGAAGAGGCAGCCGTCAGCCTCCCAGGGGAGGGCAGGAGCCGGAGTCAGAGCAGGCAGCCCTCACCGCCCCCCACGCAGAACACGGGGAGCCTGCCACACCTGCTCAGACCGCCTGCCGCTGGCCAGGCTCCCGCACACGGTGCAACGTGGCTCCCGGCTCCCTGCCTGAGCCGACAGACCACAGCCCTTTGCCTGCAAACACGGTAACTACACAAGACTGCTAACCACACCTTGCGGGTTATTCGGGTCATCTCTCCAAAGGGAGACCTTTGCTGGGCACCGACACTGGTTTCCTTAGCAACTGCTCAAGCCCATGGGCGTGCCTCGCAGAGGAGGACGGGGTCAGACCGTGTGTGGGAGCCATGTGCTCAGTGCTAGTGAATGGGACTGGGATGACTCCCCCACCTCGCACCAGATCCCCCATCTGCACTCCCCGAAGCTCGTGAATCGACAGTCGGCACTGCTTTCCTGCAACCCGGACTCATCGGCGCAGGGAGCTTTACAGGGTTTTACTTCAACTGAGAGGGTGAGAACCTTTCTATAAACATTTGACATTGTTTAAAGCTCTGCAAAGCCATGTACGGTCTCTAACCTGACCACGTGCCTCTTCCCATCGTCTTAAACACACACCAGCTTCACGCCGGCGTCACAGGCTCTGGGGCAGCGATCTCCGGCCGGTGCGCCCTGAGAATGTTCACAACATGCACCCCCTGGCCATGCCGTTGGGGCGCCGACCCTGCTCCCTCAGATCACCAAATAAAAACATGGCAACAGCCAACACAACAACCGCCATCCGGTGTGAACAAATAAAAATTATACTTTTTGGGGGTTTTTGGTCCGATGGGCAAAACTACACCACTTTCTGGTGCTACAGAACTGCAGTCCTTGGCCAGCGGGTGCCAGGAGAGGCAGAGCGGAAGTGCTGCTGTAGAGCAAAGCTGTCCCCTGTGGGGTTAGGGCTGGGCCCCCTGAGGGGCAGACTTTTCATCTCAGAAACCCCAGGCAGGATGTGGGGCCTGGGAGCCTGTTCTCTAAGGAAGCACAGTGGACGCTCTGGGTCCCCACGGAGCCGGGGAGCCTGCTCGGCTGGGGCTGCCCCCTGGAGCAGGGGAGGGCCTTGGCCGGGCCTGGCCTCAGGCAGAAACTGGCAGCTGCCCAGGGATTCCCCCCAACAGGGTCTCTTGGAGACAGGCCTGGGAGCAGGGTCTCGCCAAATATAACAATTCAGTATTTGTGTCTTTAATTTCTTTCATTATTGACTTAGCAAAAACAAAAAGGAGCGTCTATCATGTGTGGCAACCTAACCCCAACTGTGAGGTGGCTATTAGGGGGTGGTTCACGGCTGGGGCAGTCCAGAGGGGGCAGCAGGTGGAAGAGGCAGGAGTAAGGGGGCTCCTGCCTCCAGCACAGCCAAGGCCCAGAGAGCAGCACAGGGCAGGATGCAGACTGGGGGGGCGAACCAGGGTTTCCGAGGCAGCGGGCAGGGGTCCTCACAGCAGTGTCCCCAAGTCTGCGTAGAAGTTGCTGATTGGTTCCCCTTAAACGGAGGAAATGCCAGGCTCCAAAGTGCTGTTATTAACCCACTGTTTACCAATAGAGCCTCCTTTTAAAGCAACCCTGGGCGACACTCAGCATGTGGTCGCTTACACCTGCAGCTCCCACACCTCGCCTGCTCAGGGTGCGTACAAATAAGCCAGTGCCGGGTTAAGTGGGTAGTGTAGTGATTTTCTTTTGAACTGAAAGGATGAGTATTTTAGAAAAGCATCTTTCCAGCAGCCACGCTACGTGCTTAGTGCGTTTCCCCGGGACCGAGGCGGGAACTGGAAGCAGCAGACTGACCTGACCCCAAGTCGTCGAAGAGCAGCACAGCCGGCTCCCCACAGAGCTGGCTGCCCAGGAGGCAGCTGGCTCGCACGGTGAACGTGTAATTGTGACCCAGCTTCAGGTTGGAGACTTTGAAGAAATTGTCCGTCGTGTTCCCGAGGTAAGCCGTGGTGTTCATGGCGTTATCGAACGCGTGTATCTCGTAGCCCTGGGAACAGAGACAGCGGGTCAGGAGGCTGAGGAAGGCTGCCCGCTCCATGCCGCTTCCCCTGCCCGACCTCCCCCGCGCGCTCACAGGTGTCAGAGCACCTTGGGTATCCCACGAGAGCTTTCTGCGTCACCTCTGGGATCCTGGATCCAGAAAACAGGCACTTCCCATCCCAAGCGTCTCAAATACCCCGCAGTGCAGCCCGAACCACAGCCACGCTCGACACCCCACCCCGGCCACACCAAGGCTCTGGCAGCAGCCCACTCGTCTCAGGCAATGTTAGTGCCACCGAGAACCTGGACAATTCAGTACGAGCGGCTGGAATGGGTTCTGCTAATCCTATATAACTAATATGCTAAGTGTCTGGTCATCTGTTCAACCAATCAAAGCGTAATATGCTAATGATATGCTAAGGCCACTCAACTGCTCACTATGACATGCACTGACCACCAGGGGGCAGATGCTCCCCGACTGGTAGGCTAGCTTGCTGCTGGGGTCCGGCTGATCGAGCCAGACAGTCCTGATCGAGACGGGCTAGACATGCCCTGGAGCCCTTCCACGGTCCCTCCCCGCCCTAATCGTACACCAGTGGGACCCCTCGGCCTGGCCTGCGCCCTCTCACAACCCAGGACCCCGCAGTGGATGTCGGAGAGCCGGTTTCAGCCAATGCCACAGGGATCCCTCCTCAGCCCAGGGCTCCTTGTTTTCCGGCTTTTCCAAGCTGGTGGCAGCCCCCTTGGCCCGGCCTTGCCGTAAAGAGGGCTCTGCAGGCTCTACAGGGCGGATGAAATAAGCACGTTTGCGACTGGCACGGGCTGACTCCTGTGCTGGAAACATCCCAACTGGGACAGTCCTGACCCACATGCCGTGGGCTCCGGACAGACCTGAGGACTCCTGCTGCTTTCCCATAGTCCAGTGTCTAACCCCCACCCCCAACCCAAAACAGACCCACCTGTGGGCCCCACTGCATCCTCAAAGTCTCCTGGTCCCTGACCTGTCTACTCTGGGAACTCCACGTCAGGGGAGGGAGGACGTGCAGGGCTCGGCCAGAGCCACCGGGCTGGGTGGCTGAGCTGCAGCCCCAACCGAGAAGCTGGGCTCCTGCCACCAGGAAGGGCTGATGACAGCCATTGCCAAGCCAAGCCCCAAACGCCAGTCCTCTCCGTGCCCTGGCGCTCCTCACGCTCTAATGCCAAGTCCACCAAGGCATGCAGAAAAGAAGCTAAATGACAGCATCCACCACCTATAACCTATTCTGCATCCTCATCTGTGGGTGCGCAGGTGTCTCCTCCTTCATAAACAAAACTGCCCTGCGGCCTTGCATGCGAACTCTTCACATTGTTTCCTTAGAGCCGGGGTGGGGACTGTCCCGCCCGTATAAGGCCAGCAAAATCACTTGGTCTGGCCCTGCCAAGGCAGAGGGGTGAGGTAATTAAATGTTTGACCAAATATAGCCAGCGTGGCTCAGTGGTTGAGCATCGACCTGTGGCCTCTAGAGGACATGTGAATGCTGACAGCCCCAGGCACGACTCGCTGGCGCTCTGTTTGCCTGGAGTGCTGTTCCCGGGACGGCCAGGGAAGTCTAGCCACGGAACCTAAGATGCTGTCTCTCTACACAGCGTGGGCAAGTCCTTGAGACATGAATTAGTGCTCACCGTAGCCATCCATACATGTGGTCTCATGTCCCTTGCATAAGAGTGTCTTAACCTTGGCACTATTGACATTTTAGATCAGATAATCATCCGCAGTTAGAGACTGCCCTGTGCGCTGTGGAATGCTGAGCAGCAGCCCGGCCTCCACCCACTAGATGCCAGGAGCACCGTCTTCAGTAGTGATGATCAAAAATGTCTCCCGACAGCCCTGGCCCATTTGACTCAGTGGATAGAGTGTTGACCTGTTGACCGAAGGGTCCTAGGTTCGATTCTGGTCAAGGGCACGTACCTTGGTTGCAGGCTCCTCCCCAGCCTGGGCCCTAGTCGGGGCTTGTGCAGGAGGCAACCAATTGATGTGTTTCTCTCACATCAGTGCTTCTGTCTTTCCCTCTCTCTTCCACTCTCTCTAAAAAAGTCAATGGAGCCTGACCAGCGTGGCTCAGTGGTTAAGCATCGACTATGAACCAGGAGGTCAAGGTTTGATTCCTGGTCAGGGCACATGCCCGGGTTGCAGGCTTAATCCCCCCCCCCCCCCCCCCCCGCCCCCGGAGAGGAAAAGGAAAGAACTGCTGGGTCACAGGGTGAACACAATGTTTTGATGCCTGTTACCACAGTGCCTTACAGAGGCTGAACCGACTCACATTCCCGGTGCTAACCTCCCCCGTCACCCGATGGGGAGCGCCTCCCTCCGAGCTCCGCCAGTTTAGTGGAAAGAGCAGCCTTTGTTGCTTAGGTCACTAGTGACGTTGAACCTTTTTTCATGTGCTTAACCTGCTGCTGGAACTTTTCACTTCACTTCTGGTACCTTTTTCAAAATTAGTGTTTCTGTTGGAACTGCTTTGAGAGCGTTCTTTATATTTACGTGTACTAGTCATTTACATCATGATGGTGGGAGCTGTGAGGACATCCCAACTGTAATTTAGCTTTGCTTCTGCCATGACACTGTGCCTATCTAGAACCTGGGACTCGGCGCACACTAGCCGCCAGGCCGCCCAGGCGTTCCGTCCGCGAAGCTCCGGCTCGGCCGGCGATGGCCTGCCCACCTTGGGCGCCAGCACTGCTCAGTGCTCTCTCCTGCTCTCACTGCTGGAGCAGAGCACCTGGTCTCCGATGAGGCAAACCGAGTGTTTCCTGATGCTGACAGACTACCTACAGGTGCCTCTGCTCCCTGAACTTCACAGGAGGAAGCTGCTGAGACGCCAGGTGGGCAGCAGCCTGGACCCAGCGCTGGGCGCAGCCCCGTCGCTGACTGTGGGGAGGGGCCCAGCGCCAGGAGGCCCAGCGGGGCAGCAGGCCTGGGAAGGACCGGCCCAGCGCCAAGATGCTCATCCTCAAAGGGCAGTGTTAGCACTTCACTAGGTAGCAAGCCACAGCAGCGGTCCCCAGCCCCGTCCACGCCCTGCCTCGTGCTTCCCTCGCGCCATTACACGCTGGGAACAGCTCGCCCAGCACAGCCTCCCAGCCAACTGTCCGTCACTGAGGAGGGAGGAACTCACCCTGCTCTCCTGAAAATACTTTTCCTTCAAAGCTAGACTTTTCCAAAACAGGAGGACGTGGTCATTCTCTGTGATGATTTTTAAGGCATCAGGTGCTGACAATGAAACTGAAAATTAACGATGAAATAGGATGCAGTTAGTGACCATACATTTGAATTGCCATTTTCTTATGTCAAATGGAGATTGAATAATGCTCACCTTGAAGGACCGGATTAATTTAAGGAGAAAATAAAACATGTGTGCTGCTTAGTACATAGCCTAGCACATGGCAGACACTCTCGAGCTGGCGTCTCTCTTAGCCAAGAAACGTGAACAGTATCGAATATAGTAGCCCTCACATCCGAGGAGCCAGAACCAAGCAGGCAGGCTGGAGGGAGGAGTGGGATGGGCTGACCTGGACTCCTGCTGCCGACCCTCCTGCTCTCCTGGTCGACCCTCCTGCTCTCCCGGTCATGAGCGAGATGGGGAGCCGAGCCCAGCGAGGGTGAGGGCGCTCCCTCCGCCCAGACAGCACAGCCAGGCCCCTCCTCTGCAGCCTTCATGGCCAGGGACCCAGCTCTGCCCGCTTTCTGAACTTGACCTGACTACAGAGTAGCCCCGCTGGCAGGATGGGATGCCCCCTTCCTTAGCTGCCCGCGCTGGCCCCTCCATTTCTACGTCATGTTGCCTCCGGGACCAGGTGGCTTCATCCAGGCCCCCACCGGCGGTGCTTGGCTTTAGTGGCAAATGCGCAATTTTATTTCCTAATTATTTCGGGCATTTCCCCTCTACTTCCCTAGAAGTGTCAACACCAGCAGCACAGATTCAGAGAGAGAGAGAGAGAGAGAGAGGATGAATGAATATGGAATGGACGGCCGCTCCCCAGCTCACAGCACCCTGCTGGTGAGGCCTCGTACTGCTGGCCCGCGTGGACCCTGTGGGCAGTGTCTGTCAGCCCCTCAGAAGGGCCAGCAGCACGTGACCCGGACAGGAGGCCTCTGCCTGCTCACCTGTGGTGACTTTTATGCTGGCATCTTTGCTCATGTTCCCCAGTTGGACAACGACATGGTATTTCCCTCCGGGCTCCAACTTGTTCAGGGTGTATTCCACAGTGCTGTTCCGGGACTTCACTTTGTAGCTCCTGTCACTCTTTCTTATTAGATCTTTGACTGCAATTGCATACAACTGAGACAAGGAAAGGTAAGTAGAAATGCGGCATTTCCCCCCCCCCTGGGGGACACACTGTCTCAGGGGCAGTGACCCTCAGCAACATTGTGAGCCCCAAAGTCTGACTCTGCTCTTTAGGAAGCTGTTGGTGGCTAGATCCAATCTCACAACAAGTATTCAATCCCAGAATTGTGCACAGAATTACACTTCAATCCCCAAAGCAATTCTAGCCTAGCCGGTTTGGCTCAGGGGATAGAGCATTGGTCTGCGGACTGAAAGGTCCCAGATTCGATTCAGGTCAAGGGCACATGCCTGAGTTGTGGGCTTGATCCCCAGAAGGGGGGTGAAGGAGGCAGCCAATCAGTGATTCTCATCATTGATGATTCTGTCTCTCTCTGAAATCAATAAAAAATATATATATTTCCAAAAAGCAATTTGAGGGAAAGCCGTATGTATTGTGGCAGCAGCAGGTAGAGGGCAGGCAAGGAGAGCCCAGGCGAGTGCTGAACTTGCGCGTCCCCACCTCCGGCATCGCCCGGGATGCTCACGGGAGACACTGAGGGAAAGCGGTGAAGGCGGAAGCTTTCCTCTCTCTCAGGCTGCTTCTCACAGACGGGGACAGGGCACAGTAAAGGGACGGGCAGTGAGTGCAGTAGACTCACTCCTCAGGAAGAAGTCCACAGACAAGAAGAGTCTTAGCAACCACACATTAAATGCCCCTGGACTGGGGTGGGCAGGGCAGAGGGCATGGAGGTGAAGGCAGCCAAGCAGGAGGAAACAGGAGTTTTTCCAGATTCGATGCTTCTCCGTTTAGATCAGAACCAGCAAACTTTTATGTGAGGGTTCAGTTAGTAACAGTTGGGCTGTGAAGGCAGAGGGCCAGTACCACAGGACTCAGCTCCGCAATGCGTAGCACAAAAGCAGCCGAGATAACATGCAGACGATGGAACACCTTGGTTCTAATCACACCATTTTCAAAAGCAGGTGACAGCCTGGACTGGCCCACAGGCCTTTGCCTGCCAGTCCACGCTGGAAGGCCAGGGAAGGAGTTGTGAGAAGGCAGAGAAGCGGGGGTAAGCCAGGATCCAGCTGGCAATGGGGGGGGGGGGGGGACAACTAAGAAGAGGCACCTATAACAACCCCCATCCTTGGTGGGACAGAAAGGAGGCCCCAGCTGAGCCCCCATCCCCAGGTCTACGGTGCCAGCCCAGGACACCATCCTCACCCTCACACCTGCCCCCACACCACACTTAGAATACCCAGGGTTCCAGGGCCACTGCGCACTCACCAAGTCCTGGTCAGGGGAGTCATACGGGGACTCCCACTTTATCACAGCGGAGGTCTTGCCCATGCGCACTGTGTGCAGGTGGCGGGGTGGGAGCCTGCTGTCCGGGATCATCCGCACCACCACGGAGTCCGAGGACGGCCCCTGGTAAGGCACCACCACACGGACCTGCAACAAACACCCGTGCTCTCAGCCGTCGTCATCAACTCATTTCCCAACAAAACAGTGAACCGCGTGCACAACCAAATGCAATCTTACAGAAAGATACACATGTGAACCAATTTCCCACGTGCCCTGAATGTCTACTTTATTTTCTCAGAGGTACCACTGGTAACAGCTTGTGTACTTCCTTCCAGAAATGTCTTATGTATATACTAGAGGCCCGGTGCACAAAAATTTGTGCACTCGGGGGGGGTCCCCTCAGCCCTGCCTGTGCCCTCTCGCAGTCTGGGACCCCTCAGGGGATGTCCACCTGCTGGCTTAGGCCCACTCCCCAGGGGGATCGGGCCTAAGCTGGCCGTCAGGCATCTCTCTGGCAGCCTGGGAGCCCTCGGGGGATGTCCACTTGCCAGCGGGGAGCAGACCTAAGCTGCAGTCGGACATCCTTAGTGCTGCTGAGGAGGTGGGAGAGGCTCCCACCACCACCGTTGTACTGGCAGCCGTCAGCCTGGCTTGTGGCTGAGCAGAGCGCCCCCTGTGGGAGCGCACTGACCACCAGGGGACAGCTCCTGCATTGAGCATCTGCCCCCTGGTGGTCAGTGTGTGTCATAGTGACCAGTCATTTCCAGTCGTTCTGCTGTTAGGATCAATTTGCATATTATCCTTTTATTATATAGGAGTGCCTGGCCAGCCTGGGTGAGGGGCTGAGGGCCGTTTTCAGACTGTCCACACCCCCTTCAGGGTGGGGGGGTCCTACTGGTGCGCCTGGCCAGTCTGGGTGAGTGGCTGATGGCAGTTTGCAGGCTGGCCAAGCTCCCCAGTGGGGACCCTCACCCCATGAGGGTGTGGCCAGCCTGGGTGAGGGACTGATGGCTGTTTGCAGGCT